GGTTCCAACTCATAGTGACCCTGTACAGGGTTTCTGAGGCTGTAAATCTTTATGGGAGCAGAAAGCCTCATTTTTCTCCCATGGGACAGCTGGTAGTTTTGAACTGCTGACTGTGAGATTAGCAGCCCGATTTGTAACCACTACGCTACCAGAGCTCCCCAAACCAAACTCATTGCCATCAAGTCAATTCTGATTCATAGCAACCCTATTGGACAGGGTCTGACTGCTCCTTAGACTTTCCAAAGCTGTAATCTCTGTGTGAATAGATGGTCACAGCGTTCTCCTGTGGAACAACTGGTAGGTTTGAACCGCTAACCTTCTGGTTTGCAGCCAAACTTAACTACTGTGTTACCAAGACCCCTTATATCTATAGCTGTAATTGTTGTTGTTGTTAAGTGCCGTCGAGTCTATTCTGATCCATAATGACCCTGTATAGGGTTTCCAGGGAGCAGCTGGGTGAGCTTGAACCACTGACCTTGCAGTTCAAATGACTTTATAGTCTGACGCATTAGCCCACAGCACCACACCTTAGCTGTAGATGTAGATATAAGTGAAGATTTGTCTCATTTCTTACTCTACAAACTTGTATCTATTGAGCTTTGTAAATGTTCTAAGTAAATGTTTCTAAATGCTCAGCTTGGGTGGATTCTCACTAACTTTTCAGCCAATAGTTGAGCACTTAACCATTTGCACAACCCAGGGACTCTTCAGCTAAATCAACAGACATAAAATATGGTACACTGATTCTATCTCGGGACCATTTGGCATTTGGGCTAATTCTGGATGGCGTTATTAGCTGCCATTGAGTCAATTTCTACTCATAGTAACTCCATGTTTCAGAGTAGAACTGGCCCATAGGGTGCTGTGGGTTAATGCACTGGACCGAAAGATCACTTTGAACCACAGGCCAGAGGTTCAAACTCACCAGCTGCTCCTTGGATATCTTATACAAGGTCGTTATGAGTAGGAACTGACTGATGGTACTTAACCATACCAATCCTTCAGAGTCACTGGAGAGGTTAGCAGCCAAACATTTAACTGTTGTGCAACCAGAGCTCCTTGCTTCTGGATGATAGGAATACCCAGTTGTTCCCCAAACTTTGTTCACTTTCTGCCTCCTATTATTGTTTCTTCTAAGTTAGTCTTTTACTTACTCCATGTAGCGAACATGTCTCACAAACATCCCCCCTCCTTTTTTTTTCTAACAAACCTGACTTCCTCCACTATACATGTTGTTAAGTTCCGTCAGTTGGTTCCAACCCATAGCAAACTTGTATAGGGTTTCCAAGAAGCCTTTTATTTTTTCTCAAAAGAGCATCTGTTCTTTTCACACTGTGCAATGGTTATGTTTATAAACCATGACTTTTCTCCTCAGGTGAAAACTATCAACTTCATGAAGGTGGAAATACACATCCCTGTTTCTGGTCTAAGTTTTCCATAGTAATAATGAAGAAGATCAACTCAAGGGAAATCAGATAAATCTGTACACTGAATTTAGCAGAAAGAGCTATAGCTCTTCTTCTGCTGGAGTTGGTGTCCATTAGTGGACAGCATATGCTGTTTCAGGAACGTTACCTCACTGTGCAGTAGGAGGTTCCAGACTCTCACCATTAACCTGGTGGCTTCAGTCCTGGTTCTCCATCCCTGGAGCTCTTTACAATGATTAAATGGACTGTCCTGTGGCTATCAAAAACAGCTATCATTTATTACTTTGTTTCTGTGTGAACTTGCATTTGATCCTCCAAACAATTGAGCTAAAAGAAACATTTCAAATCCAAATTATTCATCCAGTAGAACATGCCCGTTTGTGTGTTGAGGAAACAAAATGAATTCACTGCTAGAGATGCGAATGTGTCTTAGAAGGTTGCTTGGGGGAGGTGAATTATGAGGTGAGTTTAAGTGTTGTAGAATAATAAACTGGAGAAAAACATTTACTAGGGAAGCCGTGTATGTGGGAGACTGGGTATATCCATGCTTATGTTTATTTATCAGTCATCTAGAAAGGTCAGGGGCAGCATCAATGGGCTCAAGTGTGGCCACAATTGTAAGGTTGGCCCAGGACCAGCAGTGTTTTGTTTGGTTGTACATAGGGTCGCTATGAGTCGGTGCTGACTTGATGGCACCTAACAACAACAACAACAGAAAGGTCAGGCCAGTCTGACTAGAAACCCAAAGGATTAGCAATCACTGTGGCATTTGAGATATTAGAGAGAGTTCCATCTCTAACAACTACCTAGTAACCATAACCACCCGGTGGTGGTGGCTGGTGGCTGTGTGCCATGGAGT